AGCCCCCACCTGTCCCAACGCATGGCGCGCTGGCTCTCTTTGTTCTCTGAGTACAATTTCGTCGTTCATTACAAGCCTGGCAAGACCAACATCCTCGCCGACGCGCTGTCGCGTCGGCCAGACTACGTCCAGTCGGGTCGCCACGCGGTTGGCGACGAGGATGACGATGAATGCGCAGTTTGCGTCGCCGAAGGACTGGCCGCGGTCACGGTTACGGCTACCAGCCCGCTTCGTGACCACATCGCGTCCGCATATGGGTCGGATGCTGCGTGTGCCGAGATTATCAAGTACTTGAAGGACCCGTCCGCCTCGGCCCAGCGTCAGTTGTCTCCACGCGGCCGCTCCCGTGTCGACCGCTACGCACTGGATGGGGACCTGCTCACCTATTGCGTTGACCGCTCGGATCCGCCTCGCGTCGTCGTCCCGCTGGACGACGACCTCCGCGCTCGCCTGATTCACGAATTCCATGATACCCCCAGTGGCGGTCACCTTGGTCGCGAGAAGACATTCGCGTCACTGGCTCGCGACTACTACTGGCCCCACATGTACAAGTGGGTGCGGAAGTGGGTCCGCTCCTGTGAAGCATGTCAGCGCGTGAAGCCAAATTCGTCTAAACAGGCACCGCTCCGACCACTGCCCGTCGCCCTAGAACCCTGGTCCTCTATCAGCATGGACTTCGTGTTCGGCCTACCCCGGGACGCCCAAGGCCGCTCGGGCATTCTCGTCTTCGTCGATCGCTTTAGCAAGATGGTGCATCTTGCTCCGGTAGCCGCCACGATCACCGCACCGCAATCCGCGGCGATTTTCGTTGACACTGTGTATCGCCACCACGGCCTGCCCACATCGATCGTGTCCGAACGAGATCCCCGGTTCACTGCGACCTTCTGGTCGGAGCTCTTCAAGCTTGTCGGGACGCGGCTGAAGATGTCCACCGCGTCACATCCGGAGACTGATGGCCAGACGGAGCGCGCAAACAGAGTCCTGGAAGACGTGCTGAAGAGCTTTGCCACGTCCTTCAAGTCATGGTCCTCCTTCTTGCCGATGGTCGAATTCGCTCTCAATAACGCGGTTCATTCATCGACCGGGCTTACCCCCTTCTTCGTGAACCATGGACGCCACCCTCGGGTTCCAGCGCTCCTTGGAATGGAGCGCTCAACTGTTCGCGATCCCGCCACGGACAGCCATGGGCGCGCTCCCGGCGTTTCCTCCCCATCGATGAACGGTGTCACGACGCGCCGTAACGCCCCAGCACCCGTGCCAACGATACTCACACGCAGCGCCGCGCGCGCGGCGTCTGACGCCGAGGCCCCTTCACGACGGCTCCGTCCCGACGTCGCTCGCCCAGCGACTTCACCTGATATCCCTGCTTGGACCTCCAGGACGCTGATCAACCCGCGCCAGCGTCCACGTGCAATTGAGTATGAACCTGTTCCTGACGCGGCTGATTCCGCCGTGTCCCCGCCCGCGAACTTCGACCCCAACCCGGAACCCGGTTCACGCGACGTCGCCGCAGCGCACGAGTTCATGCAACGCCGCGAATCTGTCATCTGCTACGTTCGAAATGCCATCGCCGTTGCCGTCGATCGCCAGAAGGAATATGCTGATCGTCGCGGTCGTAAGAACGTGGAACGCTTCGTCGTCGGCAACCGTGTCCTTTTGTCCACGGCCGGCATTCGACCTACAGCAGTGACGAACTTGGGCGCGAGCAAGCTCGCGCCGCGATTTATCGGGCCGTTTAAGGTGACCAAGGTGCTAGGCGACGTCTATACTCTGTTATTACCGACTGCTCTACGCCTACACCCTACGTTTTACGTTGGTCGCCTACGCCGCTATCTCCCCACCGTTATTCCCCGCGACGACTCTCCCACGGCCGCACCCGACGACGCAGCTCTTCGTTCTCCCGCTCCAGTCGCTCAACCCGATCCGCCAGACGCCGTAGACTCTGCGCGCTCGCAGCCTCCGCCCACCGGTCACGCTGTTCGATTCCAGCGTGACGGTCCTGCACCTCTTGTCGATAGCGCTGGGCATACCCGTCATATTGTGGAGTCCATCCTTCGTCACGACGATTCTCGCGCCGCCCCTCGTCGCGGTGACGAACACCGCGACGCCACGATACCTGATCACCGTCACTACCTGGTCCGCTGGCTTGGTCCCATGGACGATAGTTGGGAGCCCCGCGCTGTGCTGCTCGCGGACGTGCCGGATTGCGTGGCGGCGTACGAGGCGGCTCTTGCTGGGGGCGCGGTAGCGAACCGTGCCTAGCTTCGTAGAGACGCCGACGGTAGCAGCCGATGAGATGCTCTTCAACGTCGGAGAGGGGATGGTCTCTGACATAGCGCTGCCACTCGCCTTCGTATGGTCGCGGCAGGCTGAAACCGCGACACTTCGGACAGCCTTCAAGGTAATGCACGTAACAGCAGTGCCGGTCCGCCGCCCACGACAGCTCGCAGAGTCGCGCCGCCAGAAGTCCGACCGCCATACGTTCATGCGTGGCCTCACGAGCCGCGATGGTCTTGCGGAAGACAGGTCCGGTTTCGCAGTTCCACCGTTCTTGGAACGCAGTCCAGGCGTTGTCGAGCGACTCCTCCGTCACGGTGCGCGTCACCGTGACGCCTTTGCCACGCACACCGCGCCACCGCTCGAACCAGCTCTGCATCTCGCTGTTCGTCAGTGGATTCTTGAAACCACGGCAATCGCCGAACCGCCGATGTCTTAGGACGCTGGCGTACTCACTGCCAGCGTCGGATCCCGCCGCTGCTTCTCTTCCCGTGTCCATCCTGCTCCCCGCGCTGCAAGTTCCCGACTGCCACTACCTCCGACGTCTCCACGATTCTTCAACTTTGAGTGAGGGGTGGTGTGACAGGCTACTGTCACACAATGCCGCCACCGCTCCATCGCGGGGACCAATCAGAACTATGTACGTATCCACTGGTTGTGACGGCCTCGTGTGCTGAGGCCGTCTCGATAGTTAACCTTCAGAGTTCAATATACCAACACCTTCCCAGTTCGCTAGTGTACGTCGGTAACGGTCTTAGCCCGTTACATCGTCGTGTTAAGGGTGTAGATAGAGCCCAGTAGGTTTACCATGCCAGTAATCTGAGTAACTAATTGTTAATTAAGGTGCTTCAATGGTGAGCCTAGACGCACTCTTGTATCGAAGCTAACCGCAGATTTTTTGGCATTTCAGGTCGTCTGATAACACGTATGCTGTTGAAGCGCTTCCATTTCCTGCGCTCTGATTGGTCCACTCTATGTCACTCTCTCGCGGAGCTCATCACTCTTTCGAAACACTACTCTCCGCCAATCGCGTCTCTCCACCTGGATGTATCTGACTGTTGAATCCCCACTTCATCATCCGCGATGTTGCGCCGCTCGCTGTCTCCGCTGGGCCGCATCGCTCGCTCCGAGCCTGTGCGCCGCTCCATCCGCTCCAGCGCCTTGATTGGTTCGTCTTCGTCATCCAGCGACCAGCATTCATGGGTCACGGCTCTCGCTGCAGGCGCACTGGGCGCGGTCGGTATATCACTGTTCAACGACAATCACTCTGACTGCTGCGGCATCGTGGGCGTCGTAGGCAAGTCGCAGAATGCGTCGGACTTCCTGCTTGAGGGACTTACCATCCTACAGAACCGCGGCTATGACTCCGCCGGCATGTCCACGCAGCCCAACACCAAGGAGAGCGAGGCTGCCCCCATTACGACCACCAAGTTCGCCTCGGTCGTTGGCACGGCCGACTCCATCCACCTCCTTCGAGAGACCAAAAGCAAACACGACGGCAACACCACAGGCATCGCACACACGCGTTGGGCCACACACGGCGCCAAGACGGACATCAACTCGCACCCGCACACGGACATGCATGGCCGCGTGTCATTGGTGCACAATGGCACATTCACTAACTACTACGAGGTGAAGCAGGAGCTGCTGGATGAAGGGGTGGTCTTCTCCTCGCAGACCGATACAGAGGTGGCAGCGCAGCTTATTGGCCACTTAATGGGCGAAGGAGCCGATCTCCTTACGGCTGTAAGACTCGCATTGAAGAAGCTGGAAGGCACGTGGGGACTATGTGTCATGTCCAGGGACGACCCGGGTAAAATTGTCATTGCACGCAATGGTTCTCCGCTGTGTATTGGCTACGGATCGAACGAGATGTTTGTGGCGTCCGAGACTACAGCGTTCAGTCGCTATGCGAAGCGGTTCATCTCGCTGAAGGACGGAGAAGTGGCTGTCATTAAGAGCGACTCCGCTGAGCTCAATCCTAATGATGATGGCAAAGAGGAAGGATTCTTGCAACGCTTCCCGACAAGTAGACTGGCTGTGGCTCCGGATGTGAAGGTACGTCTGTCGCCGGCGCCGTACCCGCACTGGACGCTGCGTGAGATTATGGAGCAGCCCAAGGCTGTGGCTGCGGCACTGGGCTACGGTGGTCGTGTGTCGGACGACCACGTGTATCTCGGTGGCCTTGAGGCCGAGAAGGACCGTATGCTGCGCATTAAACACCTATTGATCGCTGCCTGTGGAACGTCGCTATATGCGAGTAAATACGGTGCTAAGCTGATGCGAACGCTCAATTCTTTCGACAGTGTGGCTACTGAGGACGCGTCGGAGTGCTCGAGCGACCGGTTCCCCAAGAAAGATGGCGGTTTGTTGGTGGTGTCGCAATCTGGCGAAACTAAGGACGTTCACCGTGCGCTGAAGACTGCGGAAGAACTGCAACTTGAAGTGCCTACGTTTTCAGTTGTGAACTCGGTGGGATCACTCATTGCCCGCACAACGAAGTGCGGTGTATACTTGAACGCTGGTCGTGAGAACGCTGTGGCTAGCACTAAAGCCTTCGTGACGCAGGTCACTGTTATGGGTTTGATTGCCTCCTGGTTTGCGCAGAACCGTCCCGACGGTAACCGGTCGAAGATGGCTGAGCTGATCCAGAGCATGCATCGCCTTCCTATTGCCATTGGCATGGCGCTGCGCTCACGTGAACAATGCGCAAAGATTGCTGACAAATTGATGTCTGCTGAGCACCTCTTTGTGTTGGGCAGAGGTTATGGTGAACCAATCGCCTATGAAGGAGCCCTGAAGATTAAGGAGATCACGTATCTGCACGCTGAAGGCTACCCTGGTGGCGCACTGAAGCACGGACCGTTTGCGCTTATTGAAGGTGATAAGAACGGCAAGTTTGGCGCTACGCCGATCATCCTCATCGTGCTGGATGACGAGCATGCCAGTTTCATGAAGACGTCGGCAGAGTCTGTGCGTGCACGTGGTGCTCACACTATTGTCATCACCGATAACCCGGCCATGTGCGAGAACATTGCCGATGAGGTTATTCCTATCCCCACGAACGGCCCCATGACGGCGCTGCTCGCTACAATCCCTCTGCAACTGATCGCCTACGAGCTTGCTGTGCGCAAGGGCATCAACCCGGACGTGCCGCGTAACCTGGCCAAGGCTGTCACTGTGGATTAAACTCTTTCATTTGTCAAGGTCAACTTTCCACAGGATTGTACACGAAACACTCGAACGGTAAGCATAGACCTTCATCCAACCCCATTGTTCTCCTTTTGAAGAGATAAGTAGTTTACACTCACCTCATGTCGCCGGGTTCTTGGCTTCCAGTAGTACCCAGTGGTGTCAATGCTACAGTCACTGCTGGAACTATCTGCAACAAGGAGCGATCACGAACGCCACATGCTGTTAATGTTTCTTCGAGTCCAGTTAACTTCCTCCCGCTCATATGGTAGAGATCAAACTGATCCACACTCAGGAAGCGCTTCTGACGCTGTAAGATTGCAGACTTGAAGTGTCGAAGTTTCTTCATGGAGTAGACACTAGCAGTGATAAGCATACCTCCAGGCATCCGACAACTCACTTTGATCCGAACGTCCTTCGGCTTGGCTGTAAGCACTGGCTCAGTCGTGGTGGTATCGCCGTCTTCCTGTAAATTGCTGTGCTGTTGTACCAGTCTGGAACTTGGTGTCCCAGGAGTGAGGTATTCACCGAAACTTGACATTTGAGACGATCGTCGTGTTGATGACTTGACGTAGTTAGTGAGTCCGTGCTTTGCTGCCAGGAAGTTCACTCGGTTCTCCCCATTGGGTCGTTGCCGCAACCAGCTGAAAGGATCGTCATCTTCGGGCGTCTCGGTCGGCATATCTTCTGTAGCTGGCTCAGTATTGTTCATGGCAGGGGCTGCAGTTGCAGGTCGAAGCGTTGGTGTTGACAGAGTCCGAGCATGAAGCTTCGCACTGTGCAGTCTTCGCTTGGCAGCACTGCGGACGACTTTGTCTTTCTGCTTAGCATAATGACGAGACGAGTCCCAGGAGGCTGATACAGCGCATGATGCAGGGGTTAGCGCAGGACGCCATGTAACCACGCGCTTCTCTTTCGAAGCACCGAAAGGAGCAGGTGAAGGTGTCCCCAGAGTGCTTCGACGAGTGTTTGAGTCCCATAATCGCTTGATGTCGTAGCTCCCGATATCGGGTACAGTTTTCCTGTCGGGTTCGAGTTGTCGACTGACTTTGGAGAACGCAGACGCACTGCGAGGGTTTATTGAGGAGTAGCTGACACTATCTGATGTGGCTTTCATCTCGTCCTGAAGTTTGGGTTGCTGTGGCTCTGGAATCTGAATCCGAAGCCCTCGATGACCCGATGAGCTCGGGAGCCGAAGACGTGTACGTGGAGACTTGGGCTTTGCATTGGGGTTTGCAGTTTGAGGTCGTATAATTTTGTCACGGGTATCATCATAGGTAGTTTGTCTTGTTGGGGAGCAAGGAGGAGCTGATGATATGCGTGCGAGCTGTCCTCGTGACGTTCTTGAAAGAAATGCAGCCGTCGGGGTCGCAGTCACATCTCGAACAGGCCATTGCTCTGGTACCTCGTATGTACCTGGGCCAGGAATGAACTACAGCCAGAACAAGGTAAGTATCCTGGGTTACATGGATCAGTACCGTAGAGCACGTACATTTTTCGGTTGCTTGGCTTCACCTCGAGCATTTAAGGAGTCATCGTCTGCATATCCCGGTGGTACACGAAAGCGCTGCTCCAATGCTGCCACATTCACATCAAGAGCTTTCTGTGCCTCAAGACGGAGAACCAGTCGAAACACCTCTCGAGACACAAACGGCACCGTCTTGGTAAAGTCTTGTTGGCGCTGCAGTGAAGATGATGAGCTGGATCTGCGATTCACAACCATAATTTCTGCAATTGGATCAGACGACAAGAATTACCCATGCTAAATCGAGCGACACCGTAAAACTCAAAAATCCAGCAAAACAAGTTCTCATGGGGAAGAAATATTTATCCACCAGACCTACACAGTCAGGATACAGTACGGGCTGTCAGTCGTCATGCGAGCTAACTTACCGTCGCGTTCTTGCAGAACTCTGCCATAGGATCGAGTCTAGTCGTCCGCCAGACTAACGGATGGCCGACGAACAAGTGGCGAAGCCATGAGAGTCTGCAGTACACGTGCAGCCGACGGTCGCAGGCTGGGGTCGTACTGGAGGCATTCGTGAGTCAGTCGGCGGATAATCTCCGGACACGTGTCGGACACCTTGGGTCTCAGCTTTCCGACAGCCACCTGCTGCACGATCATGGACTCCTCGAGACCCAACGTCTGGTACGGAATTTGGTGCGTGTCCATCTCGGTAAGCAGCACGCCAAGCGAGTAGATATCGGCCAGTTCGCTGTAGTCTTCACCCAGAATGATCTCAGGCGCCACCCAGCGAGCCGTGCCCACTCCAGCCGTCATAGTTCTCGCAACAGTACGCTCGCGACTCTCTCCAAAGTCAGACAACTTGGCTCCCTTCTGCGAGTCCACCAGAATGTTCCGCGACTTGATGTCTCGATGAATCAGAGCAGGCTGCAAGCTGTGCAAGTAGTATACTGCTTCACACACCTGCACGCAGTAACTGGCCTTGCCGTTCTCCCACGTCAGCACGGATGGCGGATTCTTACGCAGGACCGAGAGCAAGTCACCGGAGTCCATGTATTCCATGACGATCTGGATGTCAGTCAGCTCGTCGTCCCAGCAGGCGCCAATTAGCGTGAGAATGCATCGATGCGACAGCGATGCCAGCAAATTCAGCTCCGAGACAAAGTCTTGTACACTAGTTCCCTCGACCGTGATCAACTTCTTGACAGCAACCAGGTCTTTGCCGTACAACGCCAGCCACACTTCACCGAAAGCGCCCTTGGCGATTTTGCGAGTATAATTGAGCTCGTCGCTCGGAATCTGCGCCACGTTAGAGCTGATGATAGAGCTCCTGGATCGACGACCATTTGCACCGACAGGAAGAGTAGACTGTACACTGCTTCGTCGAGGTTGCGCATCGGACATCTTTTTGCCGTGATCGGAGAAACCTGCCAGTAGCGCGTTCGGGATCGAGCTGCGAGGAGTACGACCGCCAACTGTTGGGGGTCGCTGCTGGGACGAAGCGCGTCCACGACTGCCAGCTCTGTTGCGTGCAGGGGTGTTGTGTGCGGACGGAGGAGTGGCCACTCCCACCATATCGGGGGTGTTTGATAAGAAGAAGCCACGGTTTTTCATCTTTCGGCGGTAGAAGAAGAACCCTGCAACGCCTAGCACCACCACAACGGCTAGCACGACGACGACAATGACCAGAGTGCTGGAAGACGAGCCTGATTCAAGTTGTAGTCGACAAAGAAAACAATTAGTTAACAGTGTAATACAAAGTTGGCAATCGATGCTTACTGTCATCCGAAGACGAAGACGCAGCATCGTCAGACACACACACTACCGAGTCCAACACGTCAGTTGCGGTGCCACTTGAGCAAGCACTGGTACTGATACTCAGGGTACTTTCAGATGAAAGCTTTCGCAAGAAACTGTACTGCGCTGAAGTCACAGTCAAACTGCTGATGCTGTTGCCAGCGATATTTCTATCGGGTGTAAACAAGTGTTTCTGTGAGCAACCATATCACCCAAATAATACGAAATGGTACTCACAGGACGTTGAGGTCCGTCATGTTGAAGATCACGGATGGGAACTCTGTCAATTTGTTGTCGGATAGATCCCTGTGAGAGAACAATAACACACGACAGCCGTTAGAGGCGTCTTAAGATCGAAGACATATTAGAAGAAATGCGTACAATGTTGTGACGGACGGAAGTGACACTTCAAAGGTAGCGATTGAGTTGTCCGTCAGATTCCTACAGTGTCATCAAGGGCAAAGCATGTAAGTAAACAGTCAAAAACTTCATATAGCTAAAATGAAGAACCACATACAATGTGGTCAAGCCTTGCAGAGCTTCAGTAACGGAGCTGTCCGAATCCGTGATACTCGTCATTGTGTTCTTGTTCAGATTGCTGGCGTTATACAATATGAGAAACTGAAACAAAATATACGAAGTTGCAGTTAATACTCACAGTGTCACCAGGTTCTTGTTCGCAAGGTTGCCCAACTGTGCTGGTAAACTGGCCAAGTTACAGTTCTCCATCGTTCTGTCACATCAAAAGCAACAATATCATCATCTTCATCCAGTCGAACATAACTCCAGCACAAGATCGTACAGTAACGAGATTGTGGTCGGCAAGAAGCCGGTAGGTAGCGATCCGAGATCCAAATTGGTCAAGATCCTGCAGTAACATCAGTCAGTCCCTGTGTAACATTTTAACAAAAACCTTAAACGTTTCCACTCACAGCTGCTCTAACACTGTGGCTGTGGAGAACGTGTCTTCATCGAACGTTACGGACTTGAGCGATCCCTTCTGCACATTCGTGTCGTCAAAACCAGTGATCTGACTGTAATACAAATTGTCAGCATTGCAATCTTCCAGAGTGTCTCATGTGACAATCACTCACATATTTCTAGTCGCCTCAGCGTATTCCATGCCGTTAACTGTGTCGATCTCCGCACTGGGGAAGGCGGCGGCTGAGCTGCCACTGGCGCTGGACGTCCATGTATCGGAAGATGAGGGATCCTTGACGAAGACTGTGAACTTCTTGGCTACGGAGTTGTAGGCGTCCAGACACTGGTATGTGCAGGAGGAGCTGTGTCGGACACAGTCGTTGCGCGAGGCTTCGCTGCAGCTGGACGAGGAGGTGTATTGTACGCACGGATCGCCAGTTGTACACACGTCGCCGCAGTTGGTGAGTACGGCGCTGGCCGTAGAGTTGCTGCACCAAGACACGGACGAAGAGGACGACGACGAGGCCGCCGAGGCGCCACCTGCCGCGAGTGCCAGCGACGGCAGCAGTAGACGCATACTTTACTATTGGGCAGAGAATGCGGAACTGCTCCGATGGACGGAGGTTGCTTGAAGGTAGAGAAAGCCAGATGGGCGTTGTGGGTTCGCATCAAGATGATTGGACAAAACCAGGTTTTTGTAGTCGTTCCTGATTTCGGCCAATGAAGGAAGGGCCGGTCGCTTGGGTACTGTATCAGCGTTGAGTGAGTCAGCCTTTGTGACATCAACGGAAGGACAATCGGTCTCTGCTATCCAGTGACGGTGTGGATTGAAAGCAGGAAGCACCATTATTGGAGGCAGCTTAACTCGGCTACTAGATTAGACTATAAATCGCGGCGATATAGTTAATTATTTAGTAAGTAAGGTGCAAGATGTAGGGTGTATCTTGGCGCTTTGGGACCAAGTTGGTCCATAGTACTGAAACGACCGCGCAGTTCTCAAGCGCGGAAAGTTGCCATTCGCACGTCAGGGTATTATCCCCTGGATTTTCAAACGATAATTTCTAGCTGGCAGCCAGTAGCTGCTGGCGCCTCGTAGCACATCGAATAGATATTTGGGACCCATCGTTTGGACCGAAGCCTTTGGGTTTCATCATTTGCGCAGCGTCCTCGTCGTCATTTGACAATCCCTTCGTCTCCAGACAAGACACTATGATCAAACTAGGATCACAGAGGATATCTGAGCGGCAAACACGACGACCGAAATGAATCTGCAGCTTTCTGATTAGTCAATTTCTGCTCCACTTCAACTTCTAATGTCCACCACACCACATACATATTTCACATTCGTTAGTTTTCATGATGTCTTCCTCGAAGGCTCCTGCATCGGAGCCTTCCCCAACGCCCCCACCACTCACGTGTGCCTGCAAACGAGAACGATGCGACAAGTGTCACCTCTGCAGTCGTTGTGGCTGTGAACATGATGGCATCCCCATCGCTGAGAAGGTTAAACGCGGTCGCGGCCGACCCAAGCGAACGGAGCCAAAACCCAAAGAAAAGAATACAAACGGCGCAACAGTCGACCGTAGCGACCCCAGCACAAGACTTGATGGACGTGCACGTCGAGCTGCAACGCTGAGCCAAACGTACGAGGAAGAGGAAGACCCAGAACCGGATCCGATCCCGAAAGAGTGGACGCTTCTACCACACCGAGAGATCTTACGGTTCTTTGGAGACGACGAAAAAGCCGTTAATAACTTTTCCAACCATTGTGGTTCTGCGGTCTTTCGCCACAATGTAGACACGTGGAAGACTACAGAAGACCCGCATTACGGCAAATCCGTTGTGTTTAGGATGTATGAGAAGATCCTGCGACTCGTAGCTGAATCGGTTTGCGGCCGTGAAGCCGCTGATGCATCAGTTGTTGCTTTTCTGCAGAAGATATCATCTAAAACGGCGTTTAGCTCGTCGACTAAAGAAGTATCCGAGGTTTTCCAGCCATTAGCTTGGGTGATGATGGCAACCAAGAGAAATTCGATCGAAAGACGCACTGCGCGAGCGATGCTGTGTGGAATATTCAAATTCAGTGAAATGAGTCGAATGGAGAATGAGGTGCCAGGTTTTCACGTCGGGAAAAGCTCGTATTCCCGAGGCAAAGAGGATTTTAAAACGTTGGTGAAAGACGGAGTGTTGGAGACTGAAATACGCTCAGTAGAGCGAATCGACCAGAATCTGGTCGCTGAAGTGATCACGTCTATTGTGTCCTGTGACAACGTGACGTATCGTTTGGGGGAGACCAAGCGGATTGTGCTAGATGGACGGTATTACGATGTGCCGGCCTTGAGACGAAGAACCTTTTTGAGCGTCATGTGGGATCTCTATGTGAAACAAACTGGGGACGCTCGTGTGTCTCGCTCAGGGTTTTACCGAGTGTGTCGTGTGCTTACTCGTGGAGACGATGACAAGTGCACTGAAGTGCGTGGATTGCTTGTGGATGACAGTTTTTCGACGATGAAAAGGATTATCTCGGATTTTATACCTGATGAGAGTGTGGAACTGATTCGGTGTCTGACTGTACTTGGCTATTGGCTGGAGTATGGATGCTTTACTGATGCTCTGGTGGAATCAAACCTGGTTACAGTAAACTGCCCTCGTCATCAGTCTGCGTTTGGATTGGCTGCACAGGATGCATCCATTTCGAGAGGTGTTTGCTGCGCACCTTGCGAGGGGATGAATACATTGTTTACTTACATTGACAAAACAGTGAAGAGCAACGGCGGCGATACAGCGACGATGTCTGTTGTACACAACTGTTTTGAGAAAATCGAGCTGTATATGGCTCATCGCCTACGTGTAGTGCATCAAGAGCGAGCGGTGCTGAAGTTACTGGATAGCGCACAAATGCAAGCGATGCAAGGCGAAGGCCTGGACGAAGCTGTCGTCACTATTGACTTTAAACTGAACACAGAGCCGGTTCGTTTCTGTAACAATAAGGTGGAACATGCCTGGGAATCCGGGTTACGTTGGCATGGAGCAATGGTGCACTTTTGGACTGCTGAACCAGAAGTAACAGAGAAGTTATCTGAGCAAAAACTCTACTACAACTACATAGCCAATGCCGGTGACAGTCAACCTAAATTCGCTGTGGCAGCTTTGATCGAAGCTGTGCTGACGGATATCAAGCGCGATTTACCTCACATTAAGCGCATTGTGGTGCGCAGTGACAACGCGACCTGTTACCAGCATGCGTTCGTTGCTGTACTGCTTCCGATTCTGGGCTGGTCTAACGGTATCGAGATCACGAGATTCATCCAGACTGAAGTTGAATCCGGCAAGTCGTTACTTGGTGCACAATTTGCACGCGCAGCTACTCATGTGAATGCCTGGGTTCGACAGGACCATGACTGCACGACACCTAGTCAACTTGTAGCTGCGCTTATTTCGGATGGTGGGATGCCCGATACAACATCCGAGGCGGTCGAATACGATCGTGGATCATTACAGCTTCTGTCTGACAAGGTTGGGGGGATGGAGAAGTCTTTTGCTGCTCTTGTAGGGAAAGTGAACGACATCTTGTACGAGTACGATCACTCGACGTTCAGCTCTAGAAAAGACACGTCAGTTTTTGATGTGAGAAGCTGTCCTACTGTTTTTGCCCGTGCGTTCAAATATTCTGAAATTGGTTTGGGGAAATTAGTGGAGATCGATATGACGATAGGAGTCTGCACGCTTCAAGCTTGTGAAGATGAAGACGCGATTGAACCTTATGACAGTGAAGACCCGATTTGCGAATCTAACTGGGAGCAGAGTGCGAACACTGAGGACGATGGAGACGGAGACAACGAAGACGACTCGGAGCTTAACTTGTCCTCTGAAGTGGTGCTACCTCGGTGTGCAGTCGGTCTCGTTACTGGTGTTAGGGTGGTTTGCGATGCACAAATTCGTCGCAGAACTCGGAAATTACCGTGCTCACCCGATGCTGTCTCCGATTTACCAGCTAGTCGGGAACCAGTACGCACCAATGAAAAGAATATGGTAACCTGGGCCAAACAGTACCTCATTGGTCTGAAGAATGACCACTCACATGGAGCAGTGGACGTGTCAAACCTGTCCAAAGAGATGACCACGCTGAGATATCGCTTTCCTGACGTGAACACCGTCACCCAGTCACGACTCCAGCAAGGCTGGGCTCAAAGACCGGCGAAAGAAAGGATGGACAGTGTGAGGTGCATTCCTAGGTATATGAACGATGTCAACACTTTGTTGAAGCGAGGAGGCTCAGATCGACACGATAAAATGGGACCAAAACGGATAGTGGAAGTGCTGCGTTCGTGGAATACTACGAGTTATGATATCCCTGGCGAGAATGAGGTTCGAGCCATGATTTCTCAGTTGCGTGTTGAAAACCGAAAGCGTGGAGCTCCCACCGAAGATCCCAAACCCCGGAAGAAACGGAAGATGGAGCAGAAGTACGCTGATTTTCTGCAAGAACTTGTTACTACGAATCCTCAGATTGGACGGAAGGAGGCTGTACCGCTCTTCCGCAAGAAATTCCCTGAAGCCACGACGCTCTATTCGGATGTTCGTTTGAAAAGCAAAATCTCGATTCTCAAAGGTATGCTCTCGAAGGCTGCGACTAACGCGCAGTCGTGAGTTTGGAATTCTTAAGTGGAAAAGCTGCCTGGGCGCAGTTGAATATGTTTTCATGTGAAAGAAATCAATCCAGTGTACGAAGGGTGTAAATTGATATGAATCACACTGGAATGCCAGAAAAAAAAAGATTGGTCTTGGTTCTAGGAACGGGCCTAAAAAGTTGTACTGGCTTCAGATAGTGGTTTAATATGAAAAAAAAAAACACATCAAGGATAGACGACAACCAACAGATCCATCTGTGGTGTAATACAACTGGCTCCACCCCTGAGCTTTGAATCGCTCACAAGAAGCGACCACGAGTGTGAGCAAATTGGTCCAGCTCGGGCTCCTTCGGCACGAACTTCACCGCGTGATTAATCTTCGCCTTCACCTCTGGCGTGATCTTGCTCACCACATCGAGCGCCTTCAAGTTCTCCTCCAACTGGGATGGACGACTCGCTCCCAACAGAACAGTCGACACGTTTCCATTAGCCACCGCCCACGCGATCGACATCTGTGCGAGGGAGACACCAAGTTCTTTCGCGATTGGCAGCAACTTGTCGGCCATCTTGACACGCTCGTCGAACCCCTCCGAGAAGGGACCCGACGTAAACATGGGGGTGGTGAACCGAGATCCTTCTGGCTTGCCTGCACTGTACTTGCCCGTCAACGTGCCATAGGCCAGCGGGGAGAAGGTCGTGAGGCCCAGCTTGTATTTTTTGTACAAATCCACGAACTCGAACTCCGCCTTGTTGCGTTCGAAGATGTTGTACTGCGGTTGCTCAACGATGGGGCGAACCAAGCCCAGACGGTCTGCAATCTCGCACGCTTCACGGATGTCCGACGCCAGCCATTCACTGGTTCCCCAGTATAAGGCCCAGCCTTGGTTGATCACGTAGTTCATAGCACGCACGGTCTCTTCAATTGGAGTATAGGCATCGAAGCGGTGACAGAAGACCACATCGACGTAGTCGAGCTGCAAACGTCTCAGCGACGCCTTCAGCCCCTCCACGATGTGCTTGCGACTGACGCCCTCGTCGTTGGGCCCCCCTTGGTTGAATCCCTTGGTACCGGTGAACAATTTGGTGGAGATGACGAGGTCCTCACGGCTCCAGACTCCTTCGGCGATGCCTTTCTTGATGGCACCTCCCAGCAGTTCTTCGGCCTGACCGCTGCCGTACATTTCCGCCGTGTCGTAGAAGTTGACACCATGCTTGAAGGCAATCTTCATCATGTCATACCAGCTGTCCACCGTGTACTTCTCGTTGTAGTCCACCCAGGACCCGAGTGCCAGCTTGGATACCAATAGGCCCGAGTTACCGAGGGATCGGTGCGTCATCTTTGTGGGAGAGTTCGGAGCCATCGTTTGGTCTTGGTCGTAATTTCTTGAAGTAGCTTGTGGAGAGTGCAGCAAATTGCAGAATGAACGAGTAGCATTGACTCAGCGTTGGTGGCGATACAGTGCAACATTTGGTCGAGTAAATCTACACGAAATGTCATTGTCAACGAATCTTGAAGGTTAATCCATCGAGTCGAAGTACAAGTAGCCCATGACACGACATGTATTCCACTGATGGACGTGCGACTTCGACAAGTGAAGGTTGAACTCTCTTACCCTGTACTTCACTTTGTACTGTGCGGCAGCGATTGTTTCTACCTGAGTCAGCATTGTTGACGCACAATGGATTCTACTTTTGGTCTGCATAAACCAAAATACAAAGTCTGAGGCGCCTTTGGGTTCTGGTTTCTGGTTTCT